GATCTCGATCTCGATCTCGATCTCGATCTCGATCTCGAGACACACAGTTAAAGGAAAGGAATAGATAGTAAATCACTGAATGTGTCCAAATAAATGATAATAACTATATAACAATGAAGAGAACAAATTTCATCTGTTTCACATTCAAAGTTGCATCATAGGCACGAAAAATGGCGCTTTCAGTCGAACCCAACTTATTTGTGCACAAAAAAACCATTACCTTTTCTCTTGGCTATAGAAAATCTGGGGGCATGTTCAATATGAATATGAAAATGAATAAGACCAAGTAATCTTAAATTGTCATATTTAAGCATTAATTATTGTTCAAGAATTAATACATTCTTTCAGAAAAAAAAAACAATGAAAATTAAAAGACCCGTATTAAGAAAATATTCTTTCCCTTTTTTGTTCAGTCCTGCAATAATTAAACACATTAATTTTAAAAATTTGGTATAATTATCCCAGTACTGGTAAAGAATAATCAAATTGACAATGGAAAACCATGTTAACTTGGTCAGCACCATCCATTTATTCTCGTTGGCTCATACTAAGCTTGTTTCGTAAACTCCACTTGTTGGCTCCACTCGTTGCAGAAACCAACCTGCTTCGCTTGAAACAATGGACAGTAACAGAGAGAGAGAGAGAGAGAGACCCACCAGAACAGAATACATCCCACTAGTCAGCCAGCTTTCTCCATCGCCATCCATCATTTCATTATCAATAATTTCATTAAATGGAGATGACCCCGTAGAGTATGGTTTCTCCATGGTCCATAATCCCCCCCAAACTACAGGGAAAGTTTAAGAGTACAGATAAATCACTGTTGGACCTTGAAATAATGAGTGGTGACTGAGAGGGCGGACCCACCATTACTGTTATCTCCGAAATTGGTGGGTATCCCAGTACTCTACTCCATTTCCATGGATGGTGATGATGATGCTATTGATTATGATTCTTCCATAGTCCATCATATTATTATACTTGACTAGAATGTTCCGAAAGTGTGCTAAAGTTTCATGTGAATCATCAAAAGTTTTTCCATCATTCCGTTAGTGATAGTGACCCAAACTTCCAAAAGTTATGGTAACTTCCAAAAGTTATGGTTTTTTCATAATCCATTCTGTTATAGTATGCCGCTCTTGTCAAATACTCATTAGAAAGTTATGAAAGTCACCAACAGTTCCGTATAAATTATAAGCATGTATGTTTACTTTGGTAGACCGCAACTCTTGTCAAATACTCATTAGAAAGTTATGAAAGTCACCAACAGTTCCGTATGAATTATAAGCATATGTTTACTTTGTATAATGAGAGAGAGAGAGAGAGAGAGAGGTTCCAAATACCGTAATGAAGTTGCCACTGTTTTGGCCCTCAGCACGGAAGTAGTTGTTGGCAGTGTTGCCATGGATGCCTGCAGGAACCTGCTTCGAGCTATCAACAGTTGGTGGGGGGCCTGAGGTTGGCTTCTGGGCCAG